AGGGTGGATGCCCAGTGAGCCCTAGCCTCTAGATTACAAGCACTTGTTCTGTGTGTTTGCTTTTAGTGTGGGTTCTGGGGATTCAACTCAGGTTCTCAAGCCTGCAAGGCAGGCATTTTTCTAGCTATCTCCCCAGTCCTATAGTTTTTGTTTTCTATTATAGACTGTTTTTTATAGAAACTTACTGCTTCTGTTAGTGTAAGTTCTAATTTTATTTCTATTCTTTGGCCTTAATTATGTATAAGAGACAATCATGGAAACAAGAAGGGCATCTTTAATGATGCAGACTGTAGAAGCCTTGGATCTGTTTGTTTGTGTGTGTGTGTGTGTGTTTGTCCTCATCCGTGATGCACCTGTGGAGACCAGAGATCGGTATCAAGTGTCTTCCTTTATCACCGTCCATCTTATTTTTGAGACATGGTCTCTTCCTGGACCTGAACCTTAAAGTTTTCAGTAGACTGACTAGCCAGTAAGACCCAGAGTTTCTTCTGCCTTGAATACTCCCCAACTCTAGGAATATGGATTACATCATATCTAATTTTATCTAATTTTAGTAGATTCTGAGGATCTGAACTCAGTTCTTGATTCTTGCACAGCAAATACTTTGCCTGTTGTGCAGTATCCCCACCTCGTGCAGCAGAGTTCTTCATTCACTGTTTATTGTTTCGGCAGAAGTTGTGTTCTTTGCATAAATGTTCAATGATGTGCTCCAGAATATATGTGACCCATCCTCAAAGGTAAACCTTTCAGAAATGGGGTCATTTTAGAATATGAAGCAAAATGCTGAGTCATGAATAGACTTGCTAAAAGTAATAAGCCCATAGCAGCATTTTCATGGAAAAGCTGGAAGAATATGCAGTTGCAGTCACCATAGCTGAATTTTCTGTTAAATGCCTTTTTTAAGTAAGAAACTTGAAGGCTGGGGTGTAGGCCAGTGGAAGAGTATGGCTTGGTATGTGCGGGGCTCTGAGTTACATTAACATCCACAAGCAACATGAAATGTGCTGCCCATGAAAGAGTTCCTGTCTCAAGATGTGCCTCCAGGTATGGTGAGTGCACCCTGTAGTCTTCAGCTGTGGCGGGTGGGCTGACTTGGAGACTGGTTGGTCTTTGCTGTCAGTTTTTTTAAAAGTAGAATTCGGGAATTAGAACGTCACCTGGGCCTTTTCTACAAGCTGGAACAGTTCTATTTAACAAGTGGTCCGTGGAAATTGATGCCATTATTTCCTCAGATTTTGATCTCAGTGTTTTAAATTCATTCATGAAGTTCTCAGGGATTCAGCAGCACAGCGTTTTCTCTTTTGGATGGACGCATTGGAGAAGGGGAGCTGCATGGCTAGGTGGTTTGTCCCTCTGTCTGAGCGAACCTGAAAGCTTGCCCATAGGTGTTCTCTTTCTGAAGCCCGGCTCCATGCTGCTTTTGTGGTGCGGCACAGTAGGTGTCCTTTAGAAGAGCGATGTACAAGGAAAAAGAGATCTAGGAGTTGGCATGTTAAACATCACAAGTTAGATAACTGTCGCATTCATTCTCTTACTTGTGGAGGGGCATGGAAGGAGAAGGGAACTGTTAAGGAGGATGAAGGAGACCAGTGGGAAAGGGAGGGAGCTGAGGACAGACAATGAGGTGGGGCCATATGATCCAAGAACCTTATACACGTTGGCGAAAGTGTTGGTGAAACCACCGTCGATACAGTTAGCATATTCGTAAGAATTCTAAGCAGGTTGTGAGAGCCCTGGTTCTCATTGAGTATCAAAGCTGGAAGCTGTTCTTTTTCACGTGTCAGTCAGTACAGCACAGAGATGAAGGCAGCCACCCAAAGAGCTGCTTGGAGAGTATGCTTCCTGTTTGTCACTGCGAATGTGAGTGCTAACGTGTGATGTCTAAGGCGTGCAAACATTTTCCAGCTCTTAGAATTTCTCATGAGAAGTTCTTTGGGTAGCTGCTGCATATGTCACATTTAAAACCAGTTGTTTGTATCCAGAACAAGGAGATACTCATTCAGATATTTTATGTGAGAGACGACCTGCTTTGCATTGACCTTAGTTGCTGCATTAGATGTTTATTCTACAGGATATTACACATGGTTACTCCTTTAATTTCTGTTTCAGAAGTGTTTTCCACAGCAGTGAGTGTGTTGTCTGCCCATGTAGAATGCAGTATGTTTCTCATGCTAGGCACCTCTGTGTCTTCTAGTGACAACCTAAGTTAAGTCCTTGTTGTCTATGTAGATGTGTGAAGATCTGTTTGCACAGTTGTGCCCGGGCTGGGTGACATCTCTTATTGGCCTCTGGAAGACTAACTAATGATAAGTTTTCATCTAACAGTAATGTGTGTATGGCATGACATGTCAGAGTTGGTGTATTCAGTTTTCTAGTTTTCCAAAAGGATGTACCATTTCTGCCTGTTTCTCTAAAATCATTGTCTTATGCTGTCTTTATCTTCAGTCTCAAAAATATTTTCTAACAATTGCAAGTTTGCTTTAGTGAAGCAGAATTGGTGCAGTGTTGGAACAGGTTTTTGACGTCCCCATTGATCACAGAAGTCTGTACTTGACATTTTATGCTTGCAGCTTCACACTTTTAAAACCTGCTTAGCAGTTTCCCCCACTCTGAGGCATTGCAGCCCAGTGTTGATATGGGCCAGACAGCATAGGTGGGGTCTGAACTATGAACGTTAAGCAGCTTATATTGCATGTGGAAACAAGGGGGTTGGTGAAAAAAAAAACATGCGTTGTCATGGAGTGCCAGGCTGGGGAGAAATCTAAGGCATATTCACTCAGTGATGGCAGGTATCTGCAGTGTCACTGACCTGGTGGCTGTTCTAGGGTAAGCGCGTGCGTGTGTGTGTGTGTGTGTGTGTGTGTGTGTGTGTGTGTGTGTGTGTGTTTCTGCGTTTCAAACCTCCTTGACCCTGCTTGCTTAGGCCTCACCACACTTCCATCCCTAGCCTTTCAGAATGAAGATCTACCCTTCAGGTTGTGAAGATTAAAGACATTGTTAGATTTGTCCTCTTGTTCTCTGCAAGCTCACAGAGTTAATGACCAAGGGTTTCTTTGTCACTTGGCTTATGTCCAAAGTTTGTTTAGCATAAAGGTTGGGCGTAGCTAGTTATGGTTCTGTGACGCTCCTAAGTGAAGATGTCCTTCACGTCTAGATTGACTGGCAGTTACTGTTCGGATCCTGTGAGGAGAGAAACAAGTTTTATCCTAGAATAGTAACAAAATACAATAAAACCAGTTACTTTAAATCTAGACAGGCAGGAGAATAGCCTAAAATTGTGAGTGAACTGACCCCAGTGTGGATCCTGCTAACATGACTGTTGCAGCATCTTTGTAAACATTTGTTTTCAGCTATGCTGTATATGGTGACTGTAGTAGGGACAGGTCCCCATGTGCCTCCTGGGTCTCCCAGTGAAGGAACATATGCATAAACTTCTTCATAGGGTTTCTGTTTCATTTGCTTTTAGTTTTCTAATTGCCTGAAATGTAAATGAGTACTGAAACTTTAGCAAAAAGTTCCTTCTTTTATGAAAGATCTCATGAGAATGACATGACATTATAGCCTTTCTCAGTAAATTTTTCATATGAAAATTAGTTACTTGACATCTTGATTAGTGTTCTGAGATACTTCCTTAAAAATCAATAGAAATTCAAGTAAAATTAAACTTTCTCAGGAGGCATTATCTCTATTATTTTGTTTCCCAAAATTGTATTATCTGCTGTTTTCTAGGAACCTCGCCATTATTCACGACACTGTGTGTCATTAGGTTTTCAAAACTACACAAAGTGATAATTTCAATGAACAATCCTATTATCCATTGTGAATCATTCTTTTTATTAAACTATTCAAGAGTACTGTCTTAAGCATTGTAAAATAAAATAATGGTGTGCTCATGATATGTCTTATGATTAAATATCCATATAAAGTGACATTTGTGATTTTTACATGTATTTTTAAGGGTTGCTCTATTTTTATTTTATGTGTGTGTGTGTTTAGCCTGCATATGTGTCTGTGTACCTCGTGTATACAGTCAGGAAGGGGGCAGTGGATCATCTGGAGGCATTTCAGAAGTTTGTTGACTGCCATGTGGTTGCTGGGAACTGAACCTTGGTCTGCTGGAAGGTCAAGAGCCCTGCACCTTTTCTCCGGATTCATTTTGCATATGATTAACATTAAATTTTACATGCTGTATTATGGTTAGGACTAACTTTTTTTTTTTTTGGTTGTTTTCAAGGCAGGGTTTCTCTGTGGCTTCGGAGGCTGTCCTGGAACTAGCTCTTGTAGACCAGGCTGGTCTCGAACTCGCAGAAACCTGCCTGCCTCTGACTCTCAAGTGCTGGGATTAAAGGCGTGCACCACCACCACCCGGCTTAGGTTTAGGGCTAACTTTTAACGACAGATTTTTTTTTAATTCATTGGAGATTTCAAAAGAGGAGTCTTTGCAAGGTTTCTACCCCTCCTCCACCAAATACTCTGCTACAGTGTCAGGATAGTTGTGAGGTAAATTGATCAGTCAGTAAGTTGTATTATCTTCTCTTCGGTTCCCCTTCACCACAGAGCGGAGAATGACAGGTGTGAAAGAGGCTCTTCCATATCTAAGACAAATGAGAGGAAATCGAATTTTCAAGTTAGGGTCTATTTGAAACTTTTCGCGGACACTTGCGTGCCCACCGGTCTTTGCATATTGTTGAGCTGAATTGGGGAGCATATCAAGGAGTAAACTCCATGTGCACGATGGAGTCCTGATGGAGAAGTACCTCCTTCAGATTTCTTCACGTGAACACCTCCGCAGGCTCTCATTTTCCTGCCCGCGAGTCCTTGAATACAGAATGGCATTTCTCACCTGCTCGGAGATGTCCAATAGACAGGCAGAAATCTATCCATCGTGCATTGTCTGTCTTCCAGACCCGTGTTATCCACACTGCGAGTGTTCTGACGGGATCGGGCTTGGCCCAGAGCTCTGTGTTGCCCTGTTCTAATCTGAGTCTGTTTACTTTTAGGAGTGTGCAGCTGAGTGCCTAAGATGGAAGTAGATATAAATGGGGAGTCCAGAAGTGCCCTGACCACCCTGCCATTACCTGTGGCCGAGGGGAGCTCGCCAGGGAAGGCAGAGGCAGAGAAACCCCGTTGCTCTAGCACGCCATGCTCGCCCATGCGTCGGACTGTGTCTGGTTACCAGATCCTCCACATGGACTCTAACTATTTGGTTGGCTTTGCAACTGGCGAGGAACTCCTGAAGTTAGCCCAGAAGTGCACCGGAGGGGAAGAGAGCAAGGGAGAAGCCATGCCGCCCTTCCGCTCCAAACAGCTGGATGCGGGACTCGCACGCTCCTCTCGTCTCTATAAAACCAGAAGTAGGTACTATCAGCCATATGAGATTCCAGCTGTTAATGGCAGGAGGCGAAGGCGGATGCCCAGCTCGGGAGACAAGTGCACCAAATCCTTACCTTATGAACCTTATAAGGCCCTCCATGGGCCGTTGCCTCTATGTCTTCTTAAAGGTAAGAGGGCTCACTCCAAATCCCTGGACTACCTCAATCTAGATAAAATGAACATCAAGGAGCCAGCTGACACGGAAGTACTTCAGTACCAGCTTCAACACCTGACCCTCCGAGGGGACCGAGTGTTTGCTAGGAATAATACATGAACGACTTGCACAGAGTTTAAACCGCTTTAAGCCAGCCCGTACTCGGCTAGAGAATAATCTACTGTCGTTCTCTGTACATGACCCTTCACATTAGAGATGGTTGTATCAGCTAAAGTGTTCCTGGGACATTAAAAAAATTGTTTGGATCAAGTTTTGGATACAGGAATGAAATCACAGGTACTTGGGGGCGGGGCGGGGGGATATCATTCTAGAGCACGAAATTGCAAAGAAAACCGAATGTTGACCGTTAGTTTGCATAGCTTTTTAGCTAGAACAAGGGTTTGGTGCAGTAATTTCACCTCTATGATTCTGACACTCAAATTGGGAATGTTTCCTGCTTGGTTGTTGCTAACTTGGTATGATTCATTAGAAATTTATATTGAAGTGCTCAGTGCTTCTCGGATCTCTGTATTTTACTATACAATGTATGTAATGATTTGTCTTACGAAATTTAGCGCTTGAACACTGCTGAATTGGACCACTTTTTATTTTTAAATATTGAGTTTAAATATTTTATAACTGGTTTTGCACTGAAAACAATTAACATTTCAGATTGAGAGGATAACCTTTCTTCACTTGCCTCAATACTAATATTGAGCAATGGATTTTTTTTTTTAATTTCCGCATGGAAAGTTACCGATCTCTATGGCTGTAAAATATTCCTTTATAGCATTATTAAAGTGTGTCTTAATAAAATTAAATTTGGGATATAAAGTATTTATTTTACAATGGGTAGTGGGTGGGATGCGTGTCCAGAATGTTTGTGACATGGAGTTTCCATCAGTTGGAAATATTTCCTTAGTGCTTATTCTCTAACTTGAAATCCACATGGAACTTGAAGATGGAAAGGATTCTCTCCACTGGGTTGCTGGCATAGTACTGCTTGCATCTCAACTTCTTATAAGTGAATACAGCTTTCGCAGAGGCTCTCCTGATTTTGACGATCCAATGCTTAGACTGGGTGTAAGGTGATACCACTCAGCACATCCTTGGGTCTTTCCGAGTTTAGTTCTCTGCATCACAGCACTCACTGAAATTACAGTTTCAGGATTAGTGTAGGAGCCTAACGTGCTTCTACAGTTTTAATGGGCTAATCCTGGATTACCTAACAATTTACGTCTATCACATTGGTCTAATTTGTTGCTAAAGAAATAATTCCTTGCCTTTAGTAACAGAAGCAGCTCAATTACTCTTGACCATAAATGTATGTAACTTAAACTTTTGTAAACATTTCTATTTCATTCCGTCTTAAAGGTGCAATTTATTACTGATTTGGCATTTCTGGCTATCTAGAACTACACATTTTGTTTTCTTTTTTGGCACTTGGAGTTTCCTAGGGGTTAAGCAGTCTTGCTTATAAATTAAGAACACTTTTAAATTGATGAATGGTCCATTCCTGGAACAATTGTGGTTTTCCTCTCTCCAGAATGAGTGGCAAATTTTATTTAGAGAAGAATAAATGTTAGCAACCCCAGGAACTCTTAATGGATACTTATTGTGCATTCACAGAGCAACCATGTGACAGCATGTGTGAGAGAGCCATGGAGATGCTGACTCACATCTTACTGAGTTGATCAGAGTTTTCAGTGGCTGGAAAGTTTCCGATGTTGTCTATTTTAAAAGTAAACTGCACCTTTGTAACATATTGTATTGAATGATCACTAAGATTAACTATATCTATACAGTCAATAGTTTGACAAGTAATAGAATCCTGTCAGATGCCAAAGAGTTGGGATTTTTACATTTAATGATTAAACACCGTTATTTATTGATGATTTACCCTCTGGAACTGTATTTCTAACTATGAAATAAAAGGGTGACGTAAACATACATTGTTTTGTGGTGCTTTGAATGAAATACACCAAGCTAGGTAAGGATTCCACCCATGGGGCTGTTGAGGTTGTTCAGATGGTAAAGGTTCTTTCTGCCAAACATGGCCACCTAAGTTTGGTTACCAGGTCCACTGTGGTAGAAAGGGAAAACTAGTTATCCTCCAATGTTCGCACAGGTACCATGACACAGGTGCACATACATATGTATGTGAACACACTTAAAGTAAATGTATGAACGAATTCCACTCAGGTGCTTATTTTAAGGCCCTAGTTTTATGAAACAGACACATGTGAGTTTGATACTCGTTGTCACTTCCAGGTGAAGAAAGTCTTCCTTGCGATGGTCTGGGTCCAGCCTCCTCATTGATGAACCGTGTGCCTGAGAGATTTTCCTAGTTGCCTACGACTCTTGAGCACAATAAAAAAATACAGTTTTTAAATTTTTCTTTTGTTTTGGACAAAAATGAATGTCTGAAAAGATTTCTATGGTTTGTTACATAGTTGTAGATAATTTAAATACTGGCTTCTGAGATATAAAGCTTGGGAGTCCCAGGCCAGCCATTTCCAGAGAATTGAATTCCTGCTGTAGGTAGTATGTTACCAGAGGAGGGGAAGAAGTCAGAGGGAGAAGAGGCAGGAGAATGGATGGAGATTTCCTTAAAATGCCAAGTTTTAGAGACTCAGGGGTGCACAGGTGACATAGGAAACTTGGTGGCTTCTGCAGGGTCAGTTTATAGCTGTGAGTGGCTCCTGGGCTGCTGTGCCAACGGCCAGGGAGTTGAGGATTCCGAACATGGAAACCCCATGGTCTGAGAACCCCAGATCTTTTGGACTACTGTGCAACTGGGGGTCTTCTGTGCATCAAAGCTTGTATCTTTCTCCTCATGTTTTAATGCTTGTCTGTGGGGTGCAGTGTCTTTTTCTTACCTTGGGGCTTCCTTAACTACCTCAGTATTTTTACTTTAGGAAACTTCTAGAAGCATCTGAGTTAGCTTTTACAGGCAGACTGGGCTTCCACCAAGGAAGGAATATATCTGAAGCCTTGAGGAAAGCAACCTAGTCTACTTACTTTTTTTCATCATAATATACTTTCGTCTTTGGAAAGGCTTTTATTCAGCTTTTCTGTAGTGAAACTTTTTTGAAGGGTCCTGACCTAAGTGGCTTGTTCTCAATTGAGAGTAAGGAGGAAGAGAGGCTGTCTGTCACACTTTATAAATGGCATGAGCGCTTTCAAAGGGATGTGTGGAGAGGGAGAAAAGGCCGAATACTGTTATAATGTAGAGTGTAGCAAGTTTGAAGTGGGGTTGCCTTTTTAAACAATGATACTTGATTAGGGAGATGGGCATTGATGAGGAAGATTGCTTTGAGAAGATAATAAACGTGATCACAAAGCCGGAGGGTGCTTCTGTCTGTGCGATAATCCTCTAGGTGAGAATTCTGCAATGGGCTTCTTTGATGTTATACATCAGGAAAAAAATTAAGCCTTTTCTTTTTTTTCTACCTGAGAACACTAGAAACAACCAAAAGAAGAATGGACTTGATTTTTTTTTTACATGCTAAGTTCACCGATCACTGCTTCACTCTGACAGGTGTGCACATTGTGTGTGTGTGTGTGTGTGTGTGTGCTCACACATGTGCAGTATGTTTGTGCACCCCTGCACACATTGACTTTGTATTTTGCCATTGTAAAGTCACTTTGTTCAAGGCTTTCTTAAATGGTTTTAGGGAGAAGTCTGAAATCAAATTTGGACGTTACCTCTGATCTTGAGGCTGTTTGATGCATGGATCTGTGGGAGAGCATAGGATAAGGGAAGGCATCTGGGGCGGAGAGGGTACCTGCACAGTCCATCGAGTCCTCAGATGCTCCTGGCCGGGCCTCTCTGGAGAGAAGAGCTTTGAACGCCTTGCTTTTATGGAAGAGTCAGCAGCACTTTCAAAGCCCTGTCTGATGCCGTGCAGAGGATTCTTGCTGTGCACTGCGAAGATGTGGGGACATGGCTCCATCCTGACCTTTAGCCTTGTTCACCAGGAGGACTTTGCTGTACCACACTTCTCAGTATTACTCAGTATTACTCATGGAAATATCCATTCAGTAGTCCCTGAAGCCTCAAGTCTTGCCCAGGGCTTCAGGTAGGGAAAGTGACTTCCTGAAGCATCATGAGCTTTGTGAATTGATTGAAATTCGGATTTTGATTAGGTTGGAGATAGAGTAGCAAATACTAACCCTTCTTGCCAGCTAGCTCCTCACAAATGAATGTGGCAGACATATCTCGTGCACCTGAGCAGTCTTTCCTAGAAACCAGATGTGACCGCATTGGTTTTTTTGTTTGTTTGTTTGTTTGTTTTTTGTTTTTTGTTTTTTTTTTTTGTTTTTTGTTTTTTCGAGACAGGGTTTCTCTGTATTGTTTTGGAGGCTGTCCTGGAACTCACTCTGTAGACCAGGCTGGCCTCGAACTCACAGAGATCCGCCTGCCTCTGCCTCCCGAGTGCTGGGATTAAAGGCGTGCGCCACCAATACCCGGCCGCCGCATTGGTTTTTTTGTTCATTTGTTTGTTTTGTTTTGTTTTTGGCCAGCCTTTGGGCAGTTGTGAGAAACTGATCAGCGTGAGGCAGAAGATAAAAGATGTTTTCTCATCCCTCTGTATACTTCCCATGATGAGGAAGAACATGAATGAAGAATAGTATCAACAGTTTGAGTAAGAGTCCATTCTGAACCTCAGCTTTGAAATTAAGAGCAAGAATGATATTGTGAATGCCATAACCTGCAGGTCATCAGTGTGGGTTCGGGGGCAGAAGAGTTTAAGACCTGCTTGTTCCCGGGACAGCTGGGCAAGGTCTAGGAAGATGAATGCAGGGTTTTATAGAGTGACTGGCCGTTTAAGGCGGGAAAACTCAACCCTTCTGGTGCTGAAATCTGAGAACGAGGGCTTTCTCAGGTTTTTTTTTCCTCAGTGGTATAGTGAGCTTGTTAAGTACGCACAGTTATGTTGATGACCTGTGTGAAAGTTGAGATGTTAAGATAGTCTTTTTTTGTTATCAGAGCCTTCATAGGAAAGCCTATGGAGACAAAAATAATATGGGAAAGACAAAAATCTTACTAGTTGACATTTTTATGTCAGGGTGTGCCAAAACTCTTCCAGCCTGTGTCTGCAGCTGTCTGCTGAGGTGAACTGACCTACTTTCTGGAAGGGTTCAGGTAGAAGGGAGTTAAAAATTGAAGTTTTCAAGCTGGGCATTGGAGAGGTAAGAACTATGGGGGAATAATTTGAAAAGTGTTTTTTTTTTTAACTGATTTCCCCCCCTACTTTCTACTATGACCTTTATCCCAGTGCAACATGGAAAAGAGATGTAGCAGAATAATAGTTCACTCGATCGTTTAAGGTCAGAACCACATTAAAAATACTCCTTCTTAGCCGGGCATTGGTGGCGCCCGCCTTTAGTCCCAGCTCGGGAGGCAGAGGCAGGCAGATCAATGTGAGTGTGAGGCCAGCCTGGTCTACAGAGTGAGTTCCAGGACAGCCTCCAAAGCAATACAGAGAAACCCTGTCTCGAAAAACAAAACAAAACAAAAATCCTTCTTAACATAATTTATCTAAGACATGAAATTGTAAAGGAAGTATTTTGCTGTAAAGCCTTCCTAATGTCTTGAAACGATGAATCGAGCACATCAGGATAACCGGTGTGTTTCTCTGTTGTAGTTTCTAATCAACTTGGTAAATGTTTCCTTAATATTTTGTATGTATCTTAGTGTCAAGTTTATCCAATACGATTTTGCTGCAGTTAGAGGGAAAATTTGTAAAGTACTGGGTTGTGTACAGGATTGAAGTACTGTTTACTGGCTAGTGGTGTAAGGGTCCCTGTAGGTCAAACATACGTTCATGCATTCCATGTGACAAACCAAATTTTTGCTTTCTGGAGGAAAGTGGATACTAATTGTATTTGGGCTTGTGTTGTCTCCATATCTGTTTAAGAACAATGTGTACATGGGGCGGGTTATTAAAATGAAATGACAGGGCCCTTGGTTTGTTTTTAAGTTATAGAAATTCTTTCTTTGACTTTTAAAGTTTAAATAATTGTGTTTTAAATAATTTCATACACGATCCCTGCATTCATATCATTTGTACCATTTCAACTCCTCTCATGCCTCCATACCCATGATATTTATTTATTTATTTATTCATTCATTTATTTATTTATAGGCTTTCTGACTAGGTCTTGTAATGCCTGCTATCCCTGAGGTCAGATGACTGTGGGAAATCCCACAAATGGTCGTGGCTCTTCTTCCTCTGCAGAGTGGGAGTTTAGAAGAGCTGTTTTACTGGAGAAACAGTGAAGGATGGAAGGGTGTTCATGTGTGCACAACAGTTGCGTACAGCAGTATGGGGCTATGCTACAAACAGATACAGCGCTATAATATACATATACATATACATATACATATATGTGTATATACATACATACATACTTAGTATAAATCCACTTAAATGAAGCCACACTTGAGCCTTGAGAAAATAAAGGAGCTTTCCGGGGGGACGTAGGTGATCTCCTCAGGGCAAAATGACATCATCAAGCTGGAAGGGGCTCATCTATTCCACATTTCCCACTGTTCTCACCAGCCTGGACATCAGTGTGCCATGCATGCATGCCCCTGAAACTCCAGGAAGGGAAATCATGCTGGCACCGCCATACCAGTCTGACCCACGTTTCCTGATGTGAAACATAGCAGAGGAATTTCAAACCCTGATGTTTAAACTGCCAAACCAGTCAACATTCTCCCACTCTGACGACCTTTTCACTTAACTAACCAGGTAAGTGGCCTCTCCTTTACGATTCTAGGTGGTCTGGAGTTGGCAGCTGCCTCAGACATGGATTTGAGTCCTGGGTCTCAAGACACTCAGAAAAGTCATAGGTGCCCTACTGCATCACTGATGTCTGGGAAGATGAGGAAGAAAATAGCGTACTTGTGGTATGGGATAGAATGTCCCACTGTGCAATCT